CTTTTTATATGTAATAAATTTCAGTGCAAAAAGCTATTGTTTATATTAAGTTATAAATCATAACTATGAATGTATATAATATTATACATAGTATGATTTCGCGCCATTTACCTTGAACGTGTATAAAAACTAACATGCAGGAAGACATTTATCTAACTTATAACTTTTATACACTACTGTGAATATCCTAGAAGATAGACAATTCTATGTATGCTCGATAAAATGTAGTAGCTCTGTAATCTGTTAATTTTAATTACACGACAATGACCCATTAGCCTTTGATCTTGTATAGGTATATATAACGATGAAGCTGAATCATTTAATTTGTTTGTGGAGTAAAAAAGAATTGACGACTAATATAATAAACTTACTTATCAATATTAAAAACGTCTATTAAACACATCACATTCAATTATTTGTGTGTTTAATTCAGCGCATTCAATGTGTTTTAGTGCAAACAAAACAAATAAAAGTAATTACTGTCGATGATTTTAATGATGATTTTAGTGTAAAGAGCTTGATGAGGTGAAGGATCTTATGATTAGAAATAATGAGTATAAAACGTTCGATGTTTTTTTTTAATCCGAATGCATTGGTTTTATTGACCGAACGTAAACGCTTAACTGTTTACTCTGTTATTACTTAACAATCAATGGTTAATATTAATTAATTGGAGCTAAAAAGTTTAAATGTTATATCGATTGTCGATAAGTGATAATTGTATCAACGGCGTTGAAGTCAAGGATTTTTGCTTGTGAAAGGGCAAGGATTTTGTAGATGAGCAAATTTCTTAGTATGCGTAAACAGTCTTATTGTGAAATCTATATCAAAATACCAAAACATCTTCAGTGTTGATCAATTTTGGTCAAATAAAATTATGACATAACACAATAAAATGGTTACAATCCTTAGCAGTTCAAGGTGAATAATATGCTCATACTAACAATACTAACAAAGTTTAGCATAAAAATAAAACATGTTTAATGATCATTTTTTTTTTGAGATCAGTTAGTTTCAATTGATTAATGAGTTGTATATGACGTTCCTATTACAACAATTTAAGGCCATGAAGGCTAATCGAAAGTAACATGAGCGAATAGGGGAAATTAGGTTTGTTATGACGTACGTGAACATCGTAGTAATGGGCTTTGATATATTTTTAAGGTTAAAGAAGAACAAGGACGATTATGCTAAAAAAAAATGTTATCAAAAAACTACAGTGGAAAAGAGAAAAACGAAAAGTATGACAACACTAATTTTTAGGTCATGAAATTTTTTACTAAAAAATTTAAAATTATGTTACAGAAAATATATAATTCTTCCTTGAATTTTATAGTTGATATAAAATAAACATTTTTTGTCCGTTAAAATAATAAGATACGATAATAATATTAACATGAGGAACGGATCGAAGGACGTACTGTGGCATATACGAAAAAATATTCTTAATATATGTATGAATATTTATGTATATATATGTTCGTTCTTAGAGTTTTTAACACTAAATGGTCATGTCTTCATTTTTAAAATATCCGCCCTTGAAAAGTGAAGTAAGGTGAGGTTTAATATTTTTTTGTTGGTTAAAATAGGGCTTGTGACAATGAATATAAGTAATAATACGAAACACATATACATCATATAGAGTAACTGAATGGTCATTTCTTCAGCACTATTACATATGTTAAATTTTTATGGATACATCAATATATAAAAATAAAAGCATAATCGATGTACTAATCCTTTATCTATACTATTTATGTCATTCGAACGCGAAGATTTTTACTAAAAACCAAATAAAAAAAATATAATTAAAACAATCAAGGGCGAATAATTTGCCCGTAAGTCGAATATATAAACAATATAAACGAGTGTATCGTGACCATTCTCATTGTTTCCATTGTTCCCATTCCGAAAACAAAAAATAGAACTTATTATAACTATACATAACATGAGCGTAGCAATTTGGTAAATCCAGTTCGAAGGACTATTTGGGGAGTTAAGAATGATCACCTAAGATAGCAAGCGCGACTATTATCCTGAAATATGTGAACCAAGAGTTGAACTATTGAATAAGTAAAAAAAAAGTCACGCTTTCGAGTATTTTTGAGCTAATTGTCATGATTTTTAACTTTACTATTTCGAATAAATCCATTCTAGACCTTTAAAAATTTGACGATTGTTTAACAACTAATTCTATATTAGTTTATATCAATTGAGTGTACGCTAACTACTATAATAAAATAAAAACCAATTATTGACACATATACAATATAAATTTTGAAGAGAAAAATTATAATAAATACTTGACTTACAAGTTAAAATGTTTTGATAACCTCTTATTTAGCGTCTCAAATAATATAAATATATGTTGAAAATTGCGTACGTTCTTTTATAATTTAGTGATGCTAAACACTCCCTGATATCCCGATATATGTGCCTACCATCGAAAGAGTTGTGTTTTTGTTTAAAACTAGCTAAGAAATTATTGCAATGAATATTTGTTTTATGTTAATGAAAAAAAGTAGCTTTACGCATATATAAGGTAGTACATAGCATCCTCAGTTTTTTTTTTTATAATTTTGCACTATAAAAGGACTCGGGGTGCAAAACATGTTATGAATAGCATTGCAATTATGTTCTATTTAAAATTTCAGTGGAATATTACTAAGTAATACAAGAGCAACGTTACATGAAAATGTCATAATGAAATCTACATTAAAATATTTTTTGAGAAATCTAATCTTATATTTATATTAGAATTCACCACCTAGTATTTTTATTTACTTTTGATTTATGACAATGAGAATTGTGTTGGCTAAACGTTATTATAAAATTAAAGAAAATTCACTTTAATTATTATTAAAAATACTTCAGACTAAAACAGTAAATATATATATATATATATAATATATATAAATTATTCTATGGTAACACACATTTATAAATTAAATTAAATTTTAAAAAGTGCTGTTACACCACAAAATGTTTAGACTCGTCGTACAATTCGGTTATTAGACGACGGCAAAAATATAAGGTTTATTCATAATTTTGAAAAGTTTTGATGCATTTTGTATAGAAGTACATCTGAAAGTGGTGTATGAATTTTATTAAATAAATTTCATAACATTTTACATATCCTGAGCTGTTCCTAAAATGGGCGTGAGAATAGAGAAATCTCACCCTAACAAATAGACTAACTTGGGCGGTGGTTAAATGTGTGACAGTTTATTATATAGAGTGTTCAGTAAGTAAGGAAATGGGTTTCTATTGTTCTTATTGTTTGTAACGATTGACCTGCTTCCTTACTTATTGAACACTCCGCGTATTTTCATTTTAGTCGTATCCATCTACAGCACTAGTATAATTTTTACAAATATTCTTTAGAAACACAGTATATTTGTTCACAAAAATTAAATGATAAGATCTGTAAAATATTTAACTGCCCCTAATTTAACTATCACCTCAAATAATTTGACGGTATCTAATATTTCAAGAATATTCTTGATACTTTTGGATTTAAATTATGAAAAAGTATAATTATAATCCAGATAGATTTATATTTTTCAAAAATTTACTAGAATTTAAAATTAATATTGTATCAATGTTACATTCATTTACTTATGCAACATTAATTTGCAATAAGCATAAATTGATGTTCTGTAATATTACTCAAAAATAAAACTACAATGCTACTTGTTTGTTATTGCAACGTAATATGGAACATTGATATAATGTAACTTGAAGTTATACAAAAATAAGTATTAAATGTTTTATAAATGTTTAGGCTATTGAAATAGAACATAAATTGTAACAGTCTGCGTTATCATGAATACGTCAGTGCTTCGCTTGAATTGCGAGGCTCTAGTAAATTATAAACACATGAGCCATTTAGTAGTTTTTTAGCTTTTTTACTTTTGGTTTTAAGTTTATAACTTATCTGTACAATGCTTCCTAAATAGAAAAGCTTATTAATTAGACGATCTACCGAGTTCATATAACGGTGCTGTATGAAATAAGCTCATAAGGGAAGATACTGGTAATTCCGCCCACCTTGATGTAAATAATACAATTATTTGAGTAGATATTGTCAAAATCTTATTTATAATCCAGTTTGAGATGTACTATATCAAAACTAACATTTTTTGTTTTGAGAAATTATGTATAATTTCACATTACGTTGCTTTAATTTCTCTTAGCAAATAAAAATTAAAAGAAAGTAGATAATCTATATTTCAAAATAAAATTCTTTTCTCTACGTGAATTATTATAGATTTTGTAGTTAAATTTCCATGAGTGGGCGGCTTTACCAATATTCCCTTTAAATTAGTTCCATGTTTATGAAATAATATATTATTTTAAGCACCTCTTCTAGAAAATTCATAGCATAATGTTCTATTGATGTGAACAATAACATAAGAAGGGTAAACGAATACACAATCGGATTAAGACCTTATCAAGGAAATCCGGAAGTAAATTTATTTTAGATTGCACACATTTAACGAATAATTTTTTTTACGATTTTAAGCCAACATAATAAATTATTGGCAGTGACGATTGTATCATTTATATACATTGGAATAATAATGAATAAAAAGAACTGATCCGGCCACCTTCACAATCAAGGTCCACGTTAACGACACATACAGTACATTACATAGTCTCAATGCCGCAGTGTCCGGAAGAAGGAAGAGAACGCGACGGCGCAGGCGAGTGAACGCGTTGATTTGCAAAACAAGTAGCGTGTGCGAACTAGAATCGGAAGTGAAGTAAACAACGCGGCCGCCTAGCCGATCGCCGGCGGATACGAGTAAAAGGCGAGCGCGTACAAAACCCATGTGTTGTGATAAAGGTCTTTTCTTATGTTATACAATTATTATTATACGTAAGTGTTTTGTTTAACGCAAGCGGCGGTGTAAGTGGGGGCCAGGCGACATTGAACCACCAGCAGTCCAATAACCCTGGACGTACTCGCGCACATGTTATATAAGCAGGTGAATGCCGCGGGAGCGTTTTAGTTGGTTTTTTAATACATAACGTACAGCTGACGCCGTGGTAGTAAAATTACTAACCGCCGCCGAATCGCACAAGCCGCCGCAGCCGCCGCCGCGTAACATCGCAGCCGTGTTTTATGTGTGTGTGTAAGTGTGTGCAAGTGAGTGTGCGAGTGCCGCCCACCGTGTAGTGTGCGCTGTTCGGGGGGTTGTAGTTAATAAAGCACAAGACGCGCGTGGCTCGCGAGTGTGTGTGCCAGTGAACTAGTTGCACAACAGGAATCTCCCCCCAATTCAGTTCTCCAGATTGGTATTCGTTTCGTGTTATGCCAAAGTGGTTTTACACTATAATATTATAGAAAATTGATCAAAGAAGATGGCAACAGTTGAATTAGCACCAGTAACAGAAAAAATAATAGAAAAATTACCGGAGAAGACCGTAGAAGTAAAAGAATCGTTGACTAGCGACGTCAAAGAAATCTCCAAAGAGAACAAAGTGTTACCTACCAAAGCAATAGACATAATCGCCAAATCATTAGACTTGAAACGGGCCAGTGTGTCGTCTATAGACAGCGACATATCACTGTCGTACGACGCGGCTCCCTTTTACCCGCGGTCCCTCAAGCAAAACATGTCTTCGCCTAACAATTCCAGCGGATCCAGTACGGACGATGGTGGTCCCCAACAGCGTAGTGCTTCGACAACTAACGGTGGCCACATCGGCCACACCGACTCGTCAGATTCTGCTTACGAAGGAGGGCCAGTCAAGTCTGGAGACGAAGACAAGCCATTTATACCACCCGATGAGGAAACCACCAAGCGCATTCTTGATCAGGTCGAGTTTTACTTTTCAGATTCGAATATTGTCAAGGACGCTTTTCTTCTTAAACACGTGCGCCGAAACAAGGAAGGATACGTTTCGCTCAAGCTTATTTCATCGTTCAAGCGCGTCAAGCATTTAGCAAAAGATTGGAGAGCAGTAGCTCACGCTATATCTCGGTCTGAAAAACTCGAAATAAACGAATCTGGCACAAAATTACGTCGCAAGGAACCATTGCCTTCTTACGACCAAACGACTCCGTCACGTACCGTAGTAGCTATAAATTTACCCGAGGAAAAGCCAGTGACCATCGAGTCCGTTGCCGAACTATTCAGAAATTGCGGAGAAATAGCTTTAATTCGAGTTCTCCGTCCGGGTAACCCTATACCATCGGACGTCCGTCATTTCGTCAACAAGCACCCGGAAACTAGCACCAACGTGAGCGCATTGATCGAGTTTGTGCGTACCGAATCGGCACACAATGCTATCAGCAAAGACTGGAGCGTAGAAAAGGCCAAAGACGGACAAACCATGACAGTGATAGAGTTGAACGCTCCAGCGTCCAAAAAGAAGGCCTCCGCAGCAGCCAAGAAATCGCCAATGAATCGTTTGTTTGATATGGAATATTCGTCATCATGCCAAAGCGGTTCGGAAGCCGAGGATCTGCGTTCCAAGTTGCGCATGCAACGCAAAGTTTCGCCTAACACATTGATGCGATCCGATCCGAATTGGACCCAGCGACGTTGGTCCCGGGACTCAGGAACAGATAGTTCCGCATCTGGTTACTCGCGTCGTGATTCATACATACCGCCGGCTACACAACAACATCAAATGCCACTAACCGATTACAGTCACAGACGTATGTCTACTGGTTGGGATTCGAGTTCGGATAGTTACTACTCGGGACGGTCACGCTCCGGTAGCGGCGCATCCATACCAGAAACATTCGGTATGCGTCGGTTCTCGTTAGCTAATCGCCCGGAACAGCAACAACAGTCTTGCTGCTGCAGCTGCGGTCACGCACAACAACAGCAACCGCAGCCAATGGTCATGCGCAGACACTCTGCGCAAGAAAATCATCATTATGATTTGGGTAGACGATGCAGTAGCAGTAGCAGTAGCAGCGCTGGTGATTTTATGATACGTAAGGATTCAACATCGGACTTTTGTTGTGGCTCGCCAGCTGGTGGATTCCACCAAAATTGGTCACGCAAAAGCAGTTCTTCTTCGATGGGTGATAGACGCATGTCTATCGATTCATCCGATTCATCTGGACGGGGAAGCCGTAGGCAAAGTCTGGTAGCTCCAGACAACGTGGTTAGGATGCCCAAAGGCCCAGACGGTTGTGGAAGTCGAGGATTTCAACGCGAACCTCTTGTCGACACTACCCTCTATGAATAAAACAAACAGTTTCGCTGAACAATTATTATTGCTAATGTTAAAAAAAAAAAAAAAAAACCAATTTTAAATCATTTTAAACAAGTCATCCGCCAATGAAATGTCTTAAGCTAATGTTCAGTGTGAAAAAAAATCTTATCTTATTACCTTATTGTAGAAGAAAGTTACCATAACTGTATAAAAGCTACAAAGATATTGATATTAATTTATTATTTACTAAATAGTTGTTGCGATTCTAAATTTTATCATAGTCTCTATATAATTATAGAACGACTTAATTGATTTTTATTTTATTTCGAATATTCTTTTATTTATCTTAATTTAAAGAAACGAAAATTTCAATATTTATTTAATTTATAAAAACTTATGCATTATACATTATTTATAATAATTTAATATTTATTTATATAATATTGTATAAGGTACTATTCTAATAATTGGAAATGAATATTCCAACATAATACGTATACATTATTTATTTTATTTATCATATGCATTTATTAAGTTATCATTATAATAATATAATGCCTAGGTTTACGTCAATCTCGATTATATTATGTTACCGTAATATATTTATAAGACTATATTTGCTACAATATGGACGCGTAATATATTATTTATTATTATTTATAATATTCGTTTATTGAACCATAATAATAAAAATAAACGTGTAATATTTATTTTATTAAAATGTTTTGAATATTATTTATTATCATTTTTTAAAAAGACAAAAATTACATTTTTCAAAAGAGATAATTAATTTGTCAGTAAACATTAGTATCATTAACAGAACGCATTACTTGAGAACAGTCTTTTTATATAACTTTTTAATAAGGCTACTTTTTATTACTCTATCACAGGAGTCCACTATTTTTATTAACATAAAGATAAGAAACAAAGATCCAAAATATATACAGAAAAGTTATACAGGTACACATTTTAGCCATTTTTAATATTTTAATCAACAAATTAATTGCTTTTTAAGGATTGAAAATTAAATAATGAATATATTAATTACAAATTTTCATTTAGTCTATAAAAAAATCTTCGCAAATCCAAAATTGATTGGAAATTCAAACGAACACAAATGTATTAACAACAAAATATCAGCAGAATAATATAAATATAGGTACATTGTTATAATGTTTATGTAGAAAGTATAGAAAAATACATAAGCTATTATTATAACAATACATTATATTAATAGTTGCTGGACTGCATTGAAAAATAGTCATTTTAAACATGATTTCCATCAACGTTAAATTACATATAATTTGTCCAACATTTTATTAGAAACTTTATAGAATCACTCTTAAATTCATTTAGAGTAGAAAAGAGTTGAGAACGTCAATTTATTATTTATTTTTACTAAGAGGACTTAGTAAAGTTATGTAATGAGAACAGTTAACTTCCTGAAACTATTCACAAAATTTGAATATAAAATATTTGGCACTAGTTAGTGATATTAATACACATTACAGTCATCGTGGGGAATTCCTAATTGTGGCCAGATTAACTCGCAAGGTAAAAATTCAAAAGCAGCGAGAAGTATAAGCATAAGTAAATTAACACTATAAAGAGTACCTTGAATTAGCATGAGATAAACTGTTGTAATGAAAATGAGAGCACACCTGCCGTCATCACAGTAAGTTATTTTTCCTTGAATGGTCGATGCTAAGAATATGGGTTAAAAACTTCCATTATAATTTAAAAACAATTTTAGTCAATAATTATACCTTTATATATAACAATAACACTTAAAAGACGTGGTTCATGTATAACAGAAATTAGGTTACAACTTACCAGATAATGTAAATTTTGCCACGATTACTGCAACCGTAGTGTAGTAGATTTTAAAAATAAAAAATTTGGGAGTAAAAATTAATAACTATATATGTTCTTAATAGTTTAAAAAAATAATAAAATTTCAATTAAATTAGAATTGAATTTTTTGTTGAAAATCCTAAAGCTTCTACAAAAAATACCTCTTCTCTAAATAAAACTTATACCTGTTGATACAATTATCATATTGTTGAAATATTCAAATAATTATTGCAATCTTAGAAAAAAATCAAATTTTTTTTTTTTTGCTGATTACTCTTTAAGTAATGCAAAACATTCACTGATTCAAAAGTTATTAAAGATTTCATAACATGATGAGACACTGTTGACACTTTCATTTTGGAATTTATAACTAAAAGATATTTAATGAAATCTAGTTGATATTTAATTATTATGATTTAACATATAAAATAAATTAGGATTGGGTTTTTAACGAATCAAAGTCTATCACAATCTATTGACTAGATTTTGACATGTCAAATGAGGCCAAAAAAAGTTTTTATTATTTATAAATTGTAGTAAATTTTATTTTATTTTATTCTACAATTAATTATTTAAACTAACAGTCTTCGTTTATTTAAAATTTAGGTTGGAAAAGTTAATTATTTTTTCTAACTTGTAATGGTAGGTTAGATTTAAAAAAAATAAAGTTGAGTTAAAATTTATAATTTACTAAGTTTTAATAGTTAACTCGATTAAATGACTAATTACTTCAATAATTAATAATAATTAGGTCTGTGAATAATATGAATTTATAAAGTTTGTTGAATTAATCCGAATACACCATCAGCCAGTACAAATTTTTTTTAATTGAGTTGAAACTTACTGTTTTTTTCTGGCATTATTGTTGTTTTGCGTAGTGGGCGATTGAGGGGTTAATCCCTCCTAAAACGCCCAAAATAATTCTGTGTTATGTTAAAATTCAATGACAAAGTTGAACAAACTAGGTCCTCTCTAAAGTGGATCAAATAAAATTATAAATGCATATAATTCACACTTCTAATAGTAACTTTTTAATCTAATTCAAGTAAGCTAATGGAAAATTTTGCTGTTCATATAAAAGAATTTTTTTATTTGAAAGGAAGAATAAATTCCAACTATCTAATATAAAAATTATAATAAGGAAATCTATTTTTTAACATTTCAAAATATTACTAAAAACTTAAATACCGCATATTTCTGTTATTCCTGTTCAAGACATAGACAGTCCAATAACTTCACATGGGGTACAATTTTTATATTTATTAATATTAAATAATATTTTAAATATCTTGAGGAAATTTTATTTTATTTCAGTACTATACTAAATAATTTATTAACCACAACTGAACACTAACTTAGCTTATTAATTAATAACACCAAAGCTACTAAATAAGTTAAATGTAAAATTAACATAACTTCCAATCTTTTAATGCGTTAGTGTTCAAAATTGAAAAAATTGTCATATGTATAAAAATCTTAGGGTCCCGTAAATCATTAAGCCAACTTTCTCGCTGGTTGTGCCACTGAATTTGATCTATTTTTATTAAATGGGTCAATAATACCTATTGACTTATATAAAATTATTTTATATAACAAAATATGTGTAATTTATTAATAGTTTTTAATTTAAGAGTATATAATAGTAAGTTGGGTATAAGAAATACAATATAATTTTTAACATACATATTTTTTGAAACCAATTTTTGTAAAAGTTTAGTGTATATATTTTAAATATACGTGTTAAAAGCCTAGTTAGATTAATAAAATATTAAAATATAAATTTAAAAACAACTGTTTTTTTATTTGTTTTATAAGACAACCAGTTATGAGGAAAACTAACAAAAAAAAAAAACATTCATGACATTAACTATTATAATAGTTACTTAATGTTATAAATAATGAGATGATACTTGCATATCAAAAAAATTGTTAAGTAGCCTACATAAAAAAAAAAGTATATTTAAAAGTTTTATTTGATTATGAGTAGAAAAAATACATATAAATATACATATCAAAATAAAAACATAACTGAATTCAATAATAGTTTAAAATTGTATTTAACCGTCATAAAATCATACGGAATAGGTAACTATAAGTACACACATTTTTAATCAAATAAAGGAAAAATTCATTAAATTTACCCATTTAAGTACCCTAATGAATTCAATAATAGCTAAATGAATTCAATCACTAGTACATAAATTCCATTATACAATACAAATAAATAAATAAAAATTAAAAGAAAAGTTTCAATAACTCAATAATATTGTACTTACTAAATACATTTTTAATCTATGAATAGTTCTCTATCATAATTATAACATAATATTTGGTTTAATCCTGTTTTGTGGAAGACAAGCTGTTGAGCGGGTTAATAGATGTTGAACATTCAGAAGTTTGAGCAACAGTTAATGGCAGTTCGCTGGTTTCTGCATCTAAAGTGCTTGGTTGTGTAGATAACTGTAAATTAATTTAATGTTTTGTTTACATTTTATGTTTATTTTGATACATTAATACTAACACTTTTATAAACAGTAACATAGTCGTGTTGTATGATATTTGGAATATCAATAGAATTAGATGTATTCTGCTTATGGTGTCTAATCAGATCTTCCATTAAATGATAATCATTTTCTTCGGCATCTCTAAGATGTTCTTTTTCTAGATACCTGGCAATTTCCGGGTTAGACATTTCTGAAGCATGTCTCTTTCGTGATACAGGTGTATTTCCTCGTATGGGTGAATGATCACAATGTGGTGACAACATGCTAGGCGAACAAGTAGGACTAATTAGGCCACACACTGTTTCTAGCTCATCAGTTATGCTAGATTCAACGAAAATGAATGTTTTCTTTTAAAGTAAAGTCAAATGGTTGTTACAGTTTCCTACATGTGTATTTCTCAAATTTATTGAAGTAAATCAAGCATGAAACAAACTAAGTATAAATTTAATAAATTATTACCGTAACTCAGTAAAGCATTTATTTAATAAATGAATTTGAAATAACACTATAACAGCAAAGTTACTGGAGTAAATAAGTAAAAATTAATAGTAGTAAGCATACAGTATGAACATAAAAAACACATTATTCAGTAGCATTAAAAAAAAAATTTGTATTTTATAAGTAGTTCTATGTATTATCATTCTATTTGTTTTTTTAAATATATTAAGAAAAAAAGATGAAATATAAAATAAAAAGTAAAGTTAAAAGCATATGAGCACTATTTCTATTTTGATAGATATATATTTTGACAGGCTCTATTTGCAAGACAATTAATTAGCTTTGTAATTGGATTCTTCCTTTTCTTTAGTAAAGAACCATCACGTGTTCTTGTGCATGAAAAGTTAGAAAATCCAATTTCCCTTTTTTTAGGAAGTAGTGAGGGTCCTTAACTCAATAATAACTATATGAGTTGTACTTAAAGTTGCTACTAAAGGTGTTACTTTAAACCAAAAAATGTATTAAAAAAGATTATCATTATATCATTTTTTTCATTTAGAAAGTGTAAAATGGAGTATGTCAAATTTGAACAAAAGGCAAGTATGAAAAGTGTTGAATGTCACAAGTCTTTACCCACAAACAATATTAAATTAAAAAAAGTAAACAAATTGTAAGTTTTTGATAAGTTATAAGTTAAATTTTTGTAGTCTTTGCCAATTTTAATAAAATAAATAATACTAAAAATAATCAATAACTATAAATAAAGACATATTAGTAAAAATTAAAAAAATTACCTAGTATATTCTATACGTTTGTTTATCATCACCGGTCTACTCGATGGTGGAGCAAATACTTTAATTCGTGGTTCAATCCAAGCACTGCCCACACAAGATTTTGCCTTGGATACCTCACCAACTTTATTTTCTTCAGTTATATTATCAATATTATCAGTATTGCTTAAATCATCTATGTCTTTGTTATTCAAATCTGGCGATAAAGTACTTTCAGTATCATATTTTCTGTCAAGAGTTTTAGCAGAATGAGCAGACATTCTACGACAGTCATATGAATTTAGTTCCATACAAGGTCTATCATGATATGATGAAACACCATCTAATGAAAGCAGAAAATTGCTGTCTGATAAGTTTGAGTGACGTACTTCAGTGAAAGAAAATTTTTTTCTTCTATGACAAGTAGATGGAAGTAAATTATCTGATATATCTGATAATAAATCTGATCTTTCACTAATACACCTAGTCCTACCAACAGTAGGAAGTATTTTTGGTTCATTTTCAAATTCTGGTTCATACATGTTGTTTCTTTTATGAGCATTGTCACTACTACTTCCACTTTCATGATCACCACTTTGTGTAGCCATAAATCTATGAATTACACTTAATGTAGATAAAGTTTGATCCATCAATTCTTCTATTTTATGAAGTCTAAATTCTAATGACTATAATAAAACAGAATTTAATAAATAGTTGAAATAAAAAAAATACACTTCTTCTAGATTTACCTGTACAGACGAATTATGTGAATTTTCTTTTTGGTTAATATCTTCAACTTTTTGTTGTATATTTTCCATTTTATCCAAAGACATTTTAATTCGTTCTTCCATAGATACTTGTACTTTATAATCTTTTTCTCGAAAATACCCTTCCACACATTCTTCTTCAAAATCATAAAGTTGTTCTAATTCTTCATTACATAAAAATAATTTTAATCCATTATCATATGTCTCTTGAATACCTTGAATTTTGCGACACAAATATTTTGTTAACAAAAATACATGACAAAAAAAAATCAAAGGTGGTGGAAGAGCTGGTTTTTGTTCGTATTCCATAACAACAGTGAATCTTTGAAACATCCAAACCTGAAAATGCAATTTAAGCATTAAAAAATATTAAGCTGAAATAAAAATATTTATAACGACCCCTTTATTTAAAAAATGAGAATATTCAGTTATCGTTTTATAATATATATATATATATATATATATATTAGGGTGTCCCTTATTTTGAAAATTTTGGAAATTCTTCGGGCTCATCCCCCAAATTTGTGTGTATACATATAAAAATTGGCTACAAAAAATTTCAGGCCGATCAGATAAGTTTAACCCGTGCCAACTTGGGGTTGAAAATCGGCCAAAAGGGGTACTTTTTTAGTTTTTAGCAATTAACTCGTAAATTAGCGCTCTCACAAAAAAAAATATTAAAACTAAATTGTAGATCTAATTGTTTTGTATAAATTAAGTCCTTACAGTTTTTCTTTTAAATCCATTAGTTTTCTAGAAAAATGTCAAAATACATAATATTTCGTAAAATTGCCGAAATTAGCATATTTACGAATATTTTATCATATATGACGAACCATATGTGATACGACCTAATGTTTCATACAAAAATTGTTTAAAATTAAATTTTACGAAATAAAAGTAATAAGTACAAATTTCATTGAATCGATCGTTTTATTGCTATAGCTGAAATAACTCGATCATATTACGATTTTTACTAAATATATGAATTTTAATGCTAGATTCTGTTAGTTATCATCTGGTTCATTACAACACTTATCGTACAAGTACGGCGATAATACTATGGTATGACTGAATTAATGTATTGTTATTATTTTTAAATTATAAATAACTCTGGAAATCGTAAATTTATTACAAATCGCAGCAATAGATATAGTGAACTTATACTTATACCACTTTAGTCGCTCACATCGCGTATTAAGTTGAACTGCTTCCTATTGTGTTTTTCTTTTAGTGTACGTAAAAATGTCCGTAGTATTACGAAATGACAATAAAATATTTTTAATAGGGTCTTTGACTACTCAAATTTTAGGTTCAAAACTTCCATCCATTGGACAAGTTCTAAAAGTTTTTTTTTATAACCTAAGAATTGTTAATCTTACTATAAGAGCAAAAGCAGCATTGACTATTCGCGAGTGTAATATTTTCTGGGAAATGGACGATTCCATTTCAACCGAAATAAAAAAATTAATGGTTGTATTCCTTAATAATGAGTCAATAATAAACCCTAGCAAACGTTTTATTCTTTCATCGAGTGATATTGACAAATCATTTTCAGGTATAATAATTTTTGATATCTTTATTTTTTTATGACTATTAAGTGATTGATATTTTAGAAAAAACTGTAGCTTCTTTTTTGTCAAAAAGCAGTATGAATTTTTTTAAACGATTCGATATCAATACTAATTTTTTAAATTTGGATCCAAGTAATTGGAATACTGATAATTTTTATTTACACGAAAAAGAAATTGTATGTTCACTTAAAGTAGTAAATGACTCTGCAGAGAAAGCGGTTAAGCTAATAGAAGATTTTCATGAAAGTTTAACTGTAAACGATGAAAAAGCTGAGTTACTTTTACACTATGTCCAAGAGCATAGCATATTATATCCTAATTGCAACAAAGAAACATTAAAACATAGTTTTTAATGTATATTCTTGTTATAATTTGTGAATTATTTTGAATTTAACATTTTGTATTTTATGTAATAATTTTTTTTTTATTTATACATGAATATTGAGAAGTAAGTATAATTATGCGTTTAAGTCAAACAACTACATCAATTTACAATATAAATGAAATATATTTAAATTAAGCATTAAAATTCATATATTTAGTAAAAATCGTAATATGAATGAGTTATTTCAGCTATAGCAATAAAACGATCGATTCAATGAAATTTGTACTTATTACTTTTATTTCGTAAAATTTAATTTTAAACAATTTTTGTATGAAATATTAGGTCGTATCACATATGGTTCGTCATATATGATGAAATATTCGTAAATATGCTAATTTCGGCAATTTTACGAAATATTATGTATTTTGACATTTTTCTAGAAAATTAATGGATTTAAAAAAAAAACTTTAAGGACTTAATTTATACAAAACAATTAGATCTACAATTTAGTTTTAATATTTTTTTTTGTGAGAGCGCTAATTTACGAGTTAATTGCTAAAAACTAAAAAAGTACCCCTTTTGGCCGATTTTCAACCCCAAGTTGGCACGGGTTAAACTTATCTGATCGGCCTGAAATTTTTTGTAGCCAATTTTTATATGTATACACACAAATTTGGGGGATGAGCCCGAAGAATTTCCAAAATTTTCAAAATAAGGGACACCCTAATATATATGCTGAATTGAACAACATTTAATTATTTAGACAAAATTTTCCTATAGATTAAAATTTAAAAAACACTTAGTATACATATATTAAAAAAATTAGAGCTATTTAGTTCTTTATTTACCTGATGAGATATAGCATTAATATCATTAAATATATTGTTAAATACAGCAATCAAAAGATTAATAAGTAATATGTTGGCAATCAATAAATACATAGCCATTACTAAAGGTGTAATCCATCGTCCTGTTTCACAATGTTGCATTCCTTGAGTATCATCACATTCAGGATAAATTTCATCAGCATATACCTACAATTTTGTTAAAGTAAAAATATTTTTTGGACAACAATATAAAAATGATTTGCAATACTTCTCCATAGAGCATAAAATATGGTTGTAAAAATATATGCCTAATTAAAATCCAATCTGGATCAGAGTCTGGATGTAAAATAGACTGTCTACTGACACCAAAACTCATTAAAACTACCAGTAGTAGTACCACAAAATAAAGCATATTTTTGACCATTTTACCCATCATTGTTACAAGAGGTCCTGTTATAAATTAAATTATACATAGATGTATATAAATTATAATTAAATTAAAAAATCCTAATTCACAATGTTAGTTTGATAAAATAAATTTTTCTTACCCAGATATTTATTTACTCCAAGAATATTCAATATTCTTAAGTACCAATAAATAATATCTACACAAAACATTACTCGACCAATAGATTGAGAAGATTGTTTCAATCTTAGACATAAGCCAATTAAGAAAAATATTATTGCTGCTGCATCACACGGATTCCACATATTCCATGCCCATACTGAGAATTTATCGCTAAAAAGTTGTTTTAATTATTAATACATAAAATTTTCATATAACACTACTTCAATAAAAAGTGAAAAATTATAGCGCAAATATTTAAACTTTAATTAATTAAAAAATAATGCAATATGTGCAGTCTGTAAATTAGAAGAGTAGTGTATATAATAACAAAATTTGATTCTAATTAAAAATGTATATTTGCTTGATTTTTATAATACCATGTTGTACTAACCTTATGCTAGTAGGTTCAGATGATACAATTTCTCGTATTTTCTCACACCCAAAGGTGCATATATAAGCTATCACATAGAGTTCTTGCCAAGAGGGATCAGGTTCCATACGAACAAGTACAACATAAGTGAATAAAACTAAGAAGATAAAATATGCTGCCTAAAAATGTAAAGATTTTATACAATTAGTTACACGATTACACTTGAGTTTTGTTATGTCACTTACAGAATTAGCTAAGAACTTTGTTATAGGTGCAGTATAAAATTCAAAAATTTTACGCCTCAAAGGTAATGGACGCTGTCGTTTTAAATCAAATACACTATATTCATAAGGAGGAGATGCACATTTGTGTTCAAAATCTAAACTTTTTGTAGTGCCTAATGATCCACTTGGTAACATTGTTCCATGTTCAGCATTATCTCCATCTCCTGGGACTACTCCTCCCTAGAAAAAAAAAATATTGGTTTGTTTACTAAATTTCTAGTTTTAAGTTAATATAATTAAAAAATGTACATCTAAATTTGTTTCAACCAAGTTGAGTTGTGACCGATGAATACCACCTTCTTCCATACTTTCTGTTTCTTCATCCAATTCTAACCCATACAAATGTTCTTCTTCTGTTTGAGGCATTGACTGTAATTCTTCCCTAGATTTAAATTCTAATCTAGAAATATATGGTGGAAATAAAAGTCCCAGTAAAATCTAAAAGAAAATAATTACTTAAAGAATTTAAATTTATATAGTATTTATAATATTATAAATAAATAAAATTAGATATACTCTAATATTAGTATTTTTTCGTGTTCTAAGTCCACCCATCCAAAGATCAGCAAGAATTATTTGGCTACAAGGATGAGCTAATAAAGCTCGATGATTTGCAGCTACAGCTAAACTAAGACAAGTTTGACCACTCCAATTTTGTAGTTCTACTGTTAATAACTGTTGTGCTTGATCATCATCTTGACGATAGCAATAATCTAGTAGTTCCAAGGCTTTACATAAAAAAATATACAATTAGAATTTTGTAAATACAAAGTGTTTTATAACATTAGAAAAAAAAAAGGTATACCAATATCTTCAAAAACTTTAGCATAATTTCTTAATTCATCATAGATTTCAGTTTCTAAATCATCTTCAGCAGCTTCATGTGCCATAGCTTTGTATAGTTTGCAGGCAGCTAAGGATTTAACTAAAGCTTCTTCACCATGTTGCCACATCAATAATGCCATTTCTTGGCGTTTGGTAAGAACAGTCCAAATCTAAAAATAAATTATAAATAGTATTTTATACAAACTAGTACAAAAATAATAAGAACATACCAAAAGCTCATTGAAAGGATATTCAAATAATGTCTCATCTTCAGAATTTTCAGAATCTGCCAAAACACCTAATGTTAAATTATTTCCATAGTATCTAGTAAATGAAGCACTATTTCTGTGCATATTATTTAATCTTCGTGTTTGTGCATACATCATACGAAATTTGCGTCTTGTATATTGAGTTCTATGTTAAAACATATAATTAATGGATATAATAATAATTTTAGAATTGGTTTGAGTTATAATAATTATTTTGTTAATTAAATTTAGTTAATTCTCAATATTATATTAAAAAAATATATTTTTATAATAAAAAAAATTGTTTAATTTAATACCACAGAAAATCATCTACATGCTTTTTTGTCAAGTAATTTTAAAAATAAAGTTATAAATGCCATTGTATTTTGTGGGAATATAACACTTTGTCAATAATTCTTTTAAAATTAAAGTTCATGGAGCTACTTTTTTTGTGTAGTAAACCCTTTAATTTTATATTACCTGTAAGCTCCACCCATTAATTTGTTAATAACTAAACCAATGTCATGTAATGTATACATATATCCTTGAGGAATATGAGGTCGTACATCTCTTAATATATATCCTAAAGTATTTGTTGGACCTTGTTTCTATATAAAATAAAGACATTAATGAAAATATAGAAAACTTTTTAAAACAAAAATTACAGCTTACAGTATTATATAATTCTTCTAATCTTGATATTGTCAAGAATTTTTTCATACTAACACCATTTTCTAACAATAATTTTACAAAATCAATTCGATCATGTTCTAAAGCTTGCATCATAGATTCTTCTAAAGCACCTTTAAAATAATTTAGGTAATTTAACAGCTAGATAAAATTTTTTTCCAATAAAAAAAAGTATAAAAAATTAATAAACTTAAAATTATATTTTTTATTTGATTCTTAATAAATCTATTTATATTCCACAATAATTTTCTAAAGAAAAATAATGAATTTTAAGTATCTGAACACAAACCTGGTGGCCACTCTTGTCCATATACAAATATTTCTGATCTAGCAATATCAACACGATTCCATGTTAAAGCTAAACTTAATTGTTCAGAGGGTGATAAATGCTGACTTTTAAATAATGCAGTTAAAATGGTTTGATCTAATTCTTGAGATTTTTCTTGCCCATCACTTATTCGAAAAACTGTAATCTGCAGAATTATTGAACAATGAGTATTGATGTAACAAACCCTGATTTTTGGGTTCAAACTGAACTAGTTCTTTAATTTTTCAATCAAATTCGAATCCAAATATTTAACTCGAACTCATCATTAATTTTAATTATTTACAGGCAAAGTATGTGTTATATCATTATTTAATAACTCAATGGGTTATTTGAGTATACTAGTTCGATTTTTAAACATTGTTAGCAATAAGTATTAACACATTTAATATAAATAGATATTTATCATCCAATACAAACCATATTTTTGTATTTCGTGCATTCCAATAATTCTTGATACAGACATTCAGCTTGTTCTTGTCCAATTTCAAATGCACGTCTGATGTTGTCTAAAATGTACTCTTTCATATTTTCTAAAACAGTTTGTTCTCCAGTATCCGATGCATATCTGGTTAAAAAGGTATATCCACCTTTTTCATTTATGTCTAATGACTAACTATTTTAAGCACTTAAATAATTTAGGAAACAATACTAATTTTTTTACTTGTGTGTGAATGCTATTAAATCAGCTGCTCTACCAGAACCATCACAAACAACTACTGGCACAGGTGGTGTATCAGTTACATACTCCAAAACAGCTCTAATGGTATTTGTTCCACCTTCAATTACTAAACACACAACAGGAGTACTATAATGTGCACCTAAAAGAATAATATATTTATACATTTTAGCTTTAGCTGATAAAAAGAAATATGATAATAAATTGTCTCAAAAATATTTTCTATTAATTACAAATACAAGGAATACTATATCTTCTTTGAAAAATATATATCAGTTTTGTAAGTATATAGATAATTGTTCAAAAATTTAAACTAAAAATTATAGTTTGTTATACATTACTTAATTTTATTGAGTATAAAAAATTAACATTTTTAAGAGAACCTATTATATACATAAAAATATATATGACAAAGAAGGCAACAATTAAAAATATTAACTTTGTGGCAATGAGATATTTCAGTTTTTTATTGCTCTATAAATTAATTTTATTATAGTTTTAAGATATTGGAAATAAATTTCTTAGATAATAAATAAACAGATTTAGATAGACAAACTAAGTTAGTTATTTACTTAGTAGTACTAAATATTTGGGAAAATGAGACATTACTTATTAGTTGAGTATACACCACATTTATAAACTATCAAATATTTGTGAGACACCATTTTTCACTATTTAGTATACTTGGATGAAGTTTTTGAATAGAAATATATTTTTCAAGCTTTCTGCGAAGTACAATTTCTGCCCCATAACGTGCTGATGTGCCATTGTCTACTAAAAGAAAATATGTGTGTCTATTATTTAATACTGCTAGCTTAGACCTTGGCGATGATATAGAATGATAAGGGACATCTTTATTGTGTCCTATAAGTTCATGATTATTTTCAATGATACCCCAAGGGGCAATCCCAATAGAAACAATTCTTCCTGTTCTCTGAGAATCTAGTAATAGTGCATCACCAACTTGACGAGTAACACCTAAAAAAAAAATAATTAAACATTAAATTTTAATTATAATTAATTAATAAATATTATATTTAATTAAATAGGTATCTTGTCTTGTAAATAGTAAAGGAGTATGTAAAGGACAAATAGCTTCTTCATAATTGTTCAAGATTTTGTTGTAGGGGAGAATTATACATAGGACATTTTCTTATTATCTATTTTATATTGTATTATTAAACATAATTTTGTTAACACAACAATTAGGTTTATTAAGAGGAGATTTTAATCACTATTCTCTCTGGGTATGCAATATTCCATCATATATTAAGAAATTTTTGCAAACCCAATTCTGTTTATATCGAAACACATTAAAATAAAAAAATAGAATCAGTAATTTATTTAATTTTTAAAAAACTTGATAAAAAAAAAAACATTTAAATTATACTAAAAACGAAAATAATCAGGTTATTTTATATTACCTGTATTAGTTCCACCCGTAAATACCCAAGCTCCAGTTGTTTTAGCTGCTTTCAGAAGACCTTTTCGTAATACTTTTTTTAATTTAGGCTGTAATTCAAAATTTGCTTTTCCTCCTTGAATAGTAATTAAAAGTTTTGGAAGTTCAAGTCCCCATTCTCGTGTAAAAAGATGTAATATTAATTCGGGTCGAGTATCATGTGATAATCTTACATACTAAAAATGAATAATTGTACAATTAAATTTATTATATTTAAAGTCTTTTTGTAACTTAATAATAATAATAATACTTGAGCTTTAGTTGGATGTGGACCTCCTTGAAATTCAATGGTACCATATGCATCAGTTGGTGAAAGTATTGTATGTTTAAGAGGTGACCATGCTTCATTAGAACTGTTAGGGTCTAATTGAATTGAGCCATTACCTCCCCCACAATGGAATGTTAAGGAAAGTCCACAGCTACATCTTTAATAAAAAAAATTAATATTAGGATATGATGTATAGTTGGTAACTTTTTTAAATCTACAGTAAAAATATTTTAAAATAATTTATACCTATTTTTATCTAGTTTACTTGGAATAAAATTAACACAATCTCTTTTTTGAAATGATGCCTCAACCCAACTCCGAGCTCTGCACTAAAATTTAATTGAGGATAATTATTATTAAATAAAGCTAATTTGATTATTAATGTTAAAAATATTTTAAACATGTTAAGTATAAATTAAGTTTAGTTTCTTACTGTTGTATATCTATTGCATAACTCTATTATATCGTTATTATTATTTAATTTTTAAATTATAAATATACACATATATAATATGTCTATGTTTTCATGTGTAAATATATTACATTACTATTATTAAAATAAATTTTAGTGTGTTATAGTACTTATTACATAATGTAATTTAAATAATTTCGATTGGATATAGATCTGAAATATAAATTTTCAAAATTATAAATTCATGAATTGAACTTAAAAATAATAAAAGAAAATTTTGCTTTTAAGCTAAAATAATTAAATCAATAATTGTTAACATAATCAGACTTTTTAAGTAGTTTTTACATTATTTTAATTAAGCTTAATTAATTAAAAACATCTTCTCTTGACTTCAAAACACACTATCAAGAAGAGAACAAGTCATCATCAATCAAATGAAGATAAACTACAGCTACTATATGGCAAAAGAAGCCCTCAAGTATATTCTAAATGTAGAATCCTTTTTATAATTAAACATATTATGACCGAATGTAAAAAATATAAAACCTAAAGAATCAGATACCAAACCTTAAACCATCTTCAATTAATTCTCATATCAGACCCTTAATTAACAAAAAACTACTGAAATTCCTAAAGACAACAAAGTGATCCAATCTTATTTAAAGTATTAAAAACATATTATTGAAAAACTTTTGTAAATATTGTTAATAACAATATGTATTATGTGTGAACTAATGGAGGTTTTTATTATATATATATATATATAAATTAAATTAAATAACAATGACTATTATACTTATAGTTATAACGATCTGTTCATATATACATTTTTTGAAATATATTATTCTCTCTATAATTATTTGAGTCTTTAATATCAAACCACATAATAATTAAAACAGTTAAAGGTACTATAATTCTAGCTTACTAATTTGTTATGGTTTTTACACTATTTTTTGCATATGTCAATACATACTTACAAAACTATCCATACATGATAATTTGGCTTATATAAGCATTTATGAGTTTTAAACTATTTTATAATAATTTTTATTAAACATAAAATTTATACTGTATATCATTTAACATTTCACAAATTGTTGAATTTTTCTACTAGCAAACTATCTAAGATAAGAAAGAATATAATTTTTTGTTACATAAACCTTTATCACTATTTAAACTTTGAATATAACATCAAAGTAAATAAAATAATGTATAATATATATATATCATTTTCTTTATTCAAAACATTTTCAAATACTTTAAACATCTCAAGTTTCATAACCCATTGAGTATTTTTTTTAAGTTAATTTTATGTAGGTTTGCACTTGAATAATTATATTGAATTTAAAAATGGCATAGTACTTGGAAGATAAGTACTATTAAAATATGTCTTATAGAACTTATTCATTTATCTTTCACAATTGTTACTAGCAAGTAAAATATCGTAATCGAATACAGTTTATAATATAAGTTATAACAGTATAAAATTTTAATTTAACATTTTCTAAATATTATTTATAAAGAAAAATGATTAAATTATTAATAGAATTTATTAAGTCTAAAACAATAAAAAATTTGTCTTATTAAAAATTAGCTTTGAATATGTAACAAAAAGATTTAAAATTGTTTAATTAAACTTTTTTTTATAATTGAAAACAATTTACTAAAGATTATTAAGAATTTTAGAGCATAATGAATTTACAAATTTGTGTTATTAAATTGGAAAATGTGAGATCCAATCTAAAAAATATTTACCAAGATTATAAACTTTCTAATTTACATTGGCTAAAAATTTTAAAAGTGAGTAGTCTTTATTTTTTCTAATTTAATTAAACTGAGTAATTATACTAAAATCCATCACAAGTTGAATTTAATATATATAAATTATAAATTATTATTTAATAATTTTTTTTTTATTATTATTATTTTAAAATGATAATTTATTAATTTTTTAAAATTTCATATTACCAAATTATTTAATTTATAGGAGTATACTATAAAACCTATATACACATTAACAAGTGGAATGTGCTTCCTTACCTTGAGCCAATAAAATTGTGTCCTAACAAAATATACCTAGAGAATAAAAGGTAAGTGATGATATTTATAAAATGAGTTAAATAGTTTTTTTCTACATAGGGAATACTTTTAAATGTAAACATGTATTCTAAAAATATTTCACCTTAAGAACACTACTTCCATTTGAAACACAGGCTACTCGTTTATAAATTTATAATAAAACCTAACACATAATTGTGTATGCAACTTTAAATTAGTTTAATAGATAAAAGACTGTTTATATAGATTATTTTAATATTATATAAACACATTGTATAAACAAATTTTAATTGAACAATTCTTTTGTTTTAAAATTATAATTCTACATTAACTGTACCAAAACATATTACAAATATGTACTTAAAACATTAACTCTAGAAGTGAAATCTAAAAATATATATTCAAAGAGAATAATAAGAAATACATACTTTTTTGGACTTGTTTATTCTTGAAATCATAGTGTTTTAGAACTATATATATTTTTAGTAAGATGTAAAGTCCAGCTCTTAAAGTTTCTACCATTGTCAGCCAATAGATCTGAAAAAAAAATTATTAAATAAAAAGTTCTTATTAGTACAATTGTTTTGAAGAAAAGTCACATCACTGTTAAAATTTTCAAGTTGTTTTTTTACTATAATGACATACCGAGTTATTACTAGGTCCTTTATATGGCCAAAACAGTGCAACACTACACACAAGTACAGCATATTAAACATTAATTAAAGATTATTAATAACTATGTTTAAATTATGTTAAATTATTTATATAGCTACATTTACTTCTGTATACAACAATATTACAAAGTAGACCATTAATTAAATATTTTAGTTGAACTGGAAATTATTAATAAAGATGAACAAGATATTAACTTACCCGAATTAATTACATTTTGGAAAATTTACAAACTTAAAATTTTAATACTGTATAGTAATTATGATTGATCAATTCGAAATGTGAACCCATATTAACTCATTAAAAATAATTTCTTATCACGTTTCATACGTATAACTGCTGGCGCATTCTCCTATAGTACTATTATATTATTATCAAAAAAAAAAAAAAAAACAATAATTGATATTGTTGCAACAGGTTGGATCTTTATTCATTTTGACTTTTTGTAGAGTGCTAGTGATAAAACCGGCAAAATGTATTATCTTATATCGCATTTAAGAGTGCTGAAAAACTGTTGATTACTAATCTTGTAGGGAATCAAGTGTTGTCACTCTATTCACAATTAATCAGTCGATTTAAGTGTGTCTCATTTGTTTTTGGTGCGTGTGTATCAGTTAATATTTGATTAAGCTCGTAAAACAATTACTTTAAGTGAAAAATGAATTCAAACAAGAGACTTAGCCCTAATGATCCTGGTTCATATTCTTTACCAGGTATTTTATTTTAAGTTTTATTATATTAATTAATTAATTAATTTTTTTTTTTTTGTATGACAGATGAATTTAACTATATCCTTAATAACTTTAGGTTTAAAATTTAATTAATTTTATTCGTTGTAGCATGAAAATGTATTAGTTACTCAGTATCTTACTGAAAATAAAGGATCAACATTTTTTTTATAAATAGTAATTGAAATTTATTGAATTGGTCATTGTATCTATATTTTTTATATTACATTTGGTACATAAAACAATACATTTTTTTACATATATTTTTCACATTTTATAATGACTACTACTTAATGAGATTATTTATCTATCAGTAAATATTAGTAATTAAAAAATGTAATATGTACTTATTAAAATTATTAAAATCAGTTTTTTGTTTCTTAGAAGTAATTATCGTCTGCATATTAAGTACCTGTAGTTTTATGTATTATGAATATTTAATTAGACATAAGTGGATACTCTTGAAATTTATTCAAAAAAATATCTTATAATTTTAGTAATGTGTAAAAAGTAATATTTTAAATATTTTTTTAGAAAGAGTAGCTGTTTCTCATATTAATCTAGAATTAGAGGTGGATTTTACCAATGAAAAACTCAAGGGATTTGTTGATTTATCCATTAATAAGATTGATGAACAATGCAACCAGATTGTATTCTTTTTTTTTTTAATAATATGAACAATTTTTTCAAAAATAATTAATTTTTTTAGATTTTAGATATATTAGATTTAAATGTTGTCAGTATTATTAATAGAGACAATGGATCTGCATTGGAATATACTATCGGTGACCGTTTGGATGTTTTTGGATCCAAACTGGAAGTTCAAATACCTTTGTGTAAAACGTAAAGTTTTTTATTTTATTTTATGTTTCAATATTGTCATATTTTTTTGAAATAAAATAAATATTCTAGTTCCACAATTCGAATTGCATATGAGACATCTAAAACTGCTACTGCTTTACAATGGTTGTTACCAGAACAAACTCTTGGAAAAAAGTATCCTTACCTGTTTAGTCAAAATCAAGTATGTATAATTATTAATATAGTTTTTTATATTTAAAATATAATTTGCTTTATATTGATAGCCATCTCATGCTCGCTCTATGTTACCATGTCAAGATACTCCATCAATAAAATCAACTTATTCTGCTAAAGTAATGATACATAAATATTAAATATGTATTCTGATTTAAGAAAAGTTAATTTTTTAAATAACTTTCAATTATTTTTTTATAGATAACAGTGCCAAAGCCATTAACAGCTTTAATGAGTGCTGTTTCGATAGATATAATTGATTGTGGAGATAGTCGTAAATTTTTATTTGAACAAACTGTTCCAGTACAATCATATCTCATTGCAATAGCTGTTGGTAATCTAGTAAGTAAGACTATTAGCCCTATGTCTAAGGTATGGTCTGAACCTGAAGAAATTGATAAAGCAGTTTATGAGTTTGAAGAAGTAAATAATTCTTCCACTTATTAATTTGAAAATAAATTAATAAAAAAATATAATTATAGATACCAGAGTTATTAAAATGTGCAGAAAAAGTTTGTGGTCCTTATGTATGGAAAATTTATGATGTTCTTGTTATGCCTCCTTCATTTCCATTTGGTGGAATGGAAAATCCTTGTTTAACATTTGTGACTCCTACATTATTAGTGAGTTAAAAAAATAATTCAATAAAATTTTAGAGATTTTTAATATTATTTATTTTATAAAAATAAAAATATTATAGGCAGGTGATAGGAGTCTTGTTGATGTCATAGCTCATGAAATAGCCCACAGTTGGACTGGAAACTTGGTAACAAATTGTAATTTTGAACATTTTTGGTTAAATGAAGGTTTTACTGTATACGTTGAACGAAGAATAAATGGTTTATTGTACGGTGAAAGTTCAAGGGAATTTGCAGCTTTAGGTGGTCTTGAAGACCTTAGACAAGCTGTAATAATAAAATAAAATAATTGTATTTTATATATTGAAATAATTGTAATTTTTACAATTAGGTTATAGATTTAGGTGCACAAAATCCACTAACAAAATTAGTAGTAGATTTGAGTGGAATTGATCCAGATGATGCATTTTCTACATGTCCATATGAAAAAGGTCATACCTTTTTATTTTATCTGGAGAAATTGTTTGGTGCAGGTAAAATGGAACTAGTACATTTTAATAAAATATTAAATTAATAATTGTTCTACAATTTTACAGAAAAATTTTATTTATTTTTCAAAAGTTATGTTGATAAATTCAAGTACAAGTCAATTAGTACAGAAGATTTTAAGTCATATCTACTATCTTATTTTCGTACTAATAATAAAACATTACAAATTGATTGGGATTTGTGGTTGTATACTCTAGGCATGCCTCCAATAATTCCACCGTTAGATTTTCATTTTTAAAAATTTTTACTTATTAATAATTATTGAATTTTTATAAAGATATGACTCAAGTTATCAAGATGTGTGTGAAAAATTATTAGACCGATGGATTAAATGGGATGGATCAGATGAACCATTTAATGAATCTGATATATCATGTTTTCAAACATCTCAAAAAATTCAATTTTTAGCTCTCCTTTTGAAAAATAATATAACATTAATTAAAATTAAAGCTATGCAAAAAGCATACAATTTTAATAACAATAGGAATTGTGAGATTCTATTAAGGTAGATAAAAATTAATTTATAAATTCACATCTAAATTATAATAATAATTATTTTATAAATAGGTGGTTCAGAAGTTGTTTAAAAGTTAAATGGTTGGATCCATTGGAACTTATATTTAAGTTTATTAATAATACAGGTAGAATGAAGTATGTCCGTCCTATATATAGGTATTAAATTGTTTTATCATAGTTTATTATAATTTTGTATTGACTTCCTGAAATTAAAATTTAAAAATACTTTAAAGGGATTTATATAATTGGGATGAAGTGCGTCAAAAAGCAATTGAAAATTTCGAAAAAAATAAACAATGTATGATGTATGTTTGTCAATATACAGTTTCAAAAGACCTTCATTTAAGAGATTAGAAAAATGTAATTTGATTTTCGAAGGATATTTATAAATTTTTAAAATTTAAATTATACAATTGAGATATATTTATATTTAATTGTATTTTTGTTGTATAAAATAAAATATTTAATATTAATGGTCTTAATGTGTTTAGCATTGATAATTGTAACATTGTTTCTAAAATATACATCTGGACTTTTTAGTGGTTTTTGTCTTTAGTTTAACATTTTTTAGTTTTAAATTAATATTTGCTTTGGTATAAAGCCAAGAAGGTATTAATTTTTTATTTGTGTCCTTCATTTTTCTCAGCTCTCACTTTGCCAATTTTTTTTAACAATATGTCATAAGATAACAACTTGTATCTGGTAAAAGATATTACCTTCAAAAATTGAAAAATATTTCCCTTTTATCAAATAAAATGTTGCTTACCCAAATTTATCCATATAGACAAATAAAATCATTCATTTCTAATATTTTTAAAGTGAACATTGTTAAATTAAGTTTAATATGATAATAAGTTTCAACTGCAAAGTTAGATAATTTTATTTTGTTTTTTATTAAAATTTGGTAAATACCAGTCTATAATATTCCAATTTTTTTGATAACATTTTACTGTATAAATTATTTCTAAAAATATTATTTTGGATTTAATCAAAAAGAACAATGGATTTTTACAATTATAATAAATTTTATAACACGCTAAATTGAGTAGATATTTTTAAACAATTTTTTTATTGTTTTTTTAGTTAAAATAAATCATTGAAATGAATTAGTTCTGAATACTTCAATTGTAATATCATTTTAAACACTAAGAGTTACATAGAAACGATAATTATGATTTCTATTGGTATGATTTATTTCAATAAAAATGCAAAAAAAACAGTGATTTTAATGAAAATATGAGCTTTTCTCATATTATAAAATTTCCTGACTGCATATTTATCTTAACAATACAATTTTTGTATTTATCATAAAATTTTCTATTTAATGATGTCAATTTTAAACTTGCAAGTTTAGCTAAGTTACCTCACAAGTATCCATTTGAAAGATAGTTCCAATTCTTCCATAAGACCCTTATGCAGTGTATTAAGTATTAAGATATACTTCCGTAATCAACTATTGATAGAGATATTAAAAATTATTATTACATAAAACATATCGTTTTCTACAAATTATCTGAGGATAATTATTTTTAAAAGATTTTTAGTAGATTGGGATTTTTTGTTTTTTATTTTTCATGATAATTGAAATTATTTTTTATTCATATTTTTATTGATTGTTCTTAATTAATAGGAAGTGTTAAGTTCAAATAATAATTTTAATTAAATGTATTTTTCACATTAGAGTATATGAGGAATTCTAAGTGATATATGAAACACTTGAAACATTGGTAGTTCATTATAATCATTAATTAGAATAAGGTTACAACACAAATAAATGGTATATAATATTAACAGTTGGGTTATTGTAATGTATAAAATAAATTATTCCCAACAATCTTTCTGTCAATAGCATATATTTACTTTCTCTCTTAAGGTACCTGAAAATTAGAAATTACTATTCTTAAATAATTTTAGTCTTTATTAATGGCTAAAAAATCACAAACTTTGACATAAATGATAAAAATATATAACTAATTAAAATAATTGAAACTATTTGATAATAATAATAAATCGTAAGTATAATTAATATTAGTAATAAAATGAAAAAATGTTATGGTAAAAAGTAAATATAAATAGTAATTACAAAGTAACTAAATTAAATGTTGAATTCTTCTTCAACAAAATATATTTAAATTATCATATAACATAATATAATTGTGTTCACATGGTTAATAAAATGTGACCAATCCAATGAAAAATTAGAATATTGTTGAATATGCCTTGAAAAAAACATTTATTAAAACTCAGTTTTTTCAATTTTTTTTTATTGCATCCAATTTAAATTAAAAAAATATATATTGTACTTATATTTTTTTTGAAAGATTTTTTAAGTTGAGAATAATAGAGTTAAATTTAATTTAATCATAAACCAAGCATCCAAGATATTCAAATATAAATATAATTTGTATTAGATAAGATGATGTCTATACATTTTATTTTGTTTAAAAACCTAATAAATCAACATTATATTATGTATTTTTTTACCATTTTTAAACAGCCAAAAGTTAAGAAGCCCACTTTTCTAATTCTCTCATATCATCTTCGTCCTCTTCTACTTTTGTTTTAGCTGAAATAATATTAATTCAATATTCAAATACCTAATAGTAGATAACTGTTGATTTTATATTAAAAGTTATACCGCGGCCTCTTCCACTAGGCTCACTAGTTGGAACTGCAGGTGTTGGCAAATCTGTAATTGGTGTTTTTCCAGTATTCAATAATTCTTTGTCTAATTCTTCTTGTTCTAATTCTTCTAATTCTCTTTGGAGATCATCCTAACAAAATAAATTACATATTAAGTATTAATTGTACATTAATGCTCTTATTGTACATATAAATTATAATTTTACCTCATCTACATCCAGACCTATTCCAACAGGATTAGATATGGCCTCAGATATTTCTTTGGATAAATCTTGTGATTCAGCTATATCGTCCATCATACTATGAACATCTTCTACATTCCTAAAATCAATCACAATAGATGATTAGATCATGAAAAATAAATTATTCAAAATATTAAAAACTACTGATATATTTAATGAGAAAAAACGAAGGTTTACATAAATTCATATTTATATAGGTGTTCATTAAGTGAGAAAAATAGTTTCTATTATTCTAATTTATCATAAATTGACCTGTTTCTTTACATATATAAAAAATAATCATAATAAAAATTTATCAAAAACTTGCATATTTTGATGAGCAGATTTAAGTGCATCAGCAGCTGTTTTCATTGTAGTCAACACTGCATTATTTGTATTTGCACCTTCTAATGCATCTCGCTGTGTTTCAATTGTTAACATAGTTCCATCAATTTGTGCTAACTGTTGTTCATATCGTTTTTTACGTTTTAATGCTTGTAAAGCAGCTGTTAGAATAAATAATTATTATATTAATATTTATATATAAATTAACGATACCATATTTTGATATTCATAATTACCTCGTTTATTTGTTGTACCATTTTTCTTAGCGATTTCTAATTCTTGATCAATTTTTTTCTGTAAATATTCTTGTTTTTTTATCAATAAGTCTTCTGTTGCTCTCAATTTTTGGATGGCATCTTCAGTGGTAGGACCTTTTTCTTCTTTTTTACTACCAAACAATTTGCCTAAGAAACTCATTTTTGATAATAATCTATTTATCTCGAAGTATTATATTATTTCATAAATTAAAGTTGTGTATTTTATAAAATAGAGTCAACTCATGAGGAATGTACCAACTATGAAAATAAATTATATTTGCGTTATTAATTCTATTGTTAACTAAAAAAGATAGTGATATTTCTATTTTATTGTTGTCATTCTTAGTCATATGTTTTTCCCACTAATATGAACGAGTAAAATCGTTGTCATATAATCTATTTGAGTATATGATAACACAAGCTCAAAGAAATTCTACAAATAAGCATGGAAGAAATAACCAACAAATTAGTAAACAGTCGTTTTCTATAGAAACAATACAGTTATGAAATAACATATCATTCAATCAATTTAGAATAAAAAATATATATATTTGCAGTTTTTTCGAGTTCATTAAAATTTAAGATACATTTATTTAATTTTTGAAAAATCTTGTAAGTTCATATTTATTTGTTTAGCTTTAAATTTAAGGTAAGTAATTATTTTTTGTAAACTTATAACATTTTTTTAATTTTAGTAGTCGTAAATATTCTGTGTGTTGTTGAGTTAATATCTTAACACCTATTGTTTTTTTTAATTAGTTTAGTTTTTCATGGTGATGAAGAATAGGCAAATAGATCTTAGAGGATCCAAAGTAAAATAATAGACGTATCTTCCACCGTCCCTGGATATCATTATTATTTTGGGAAGTGGTTGGTACGGTTATTTTTAGTCTATGCATAGTATTAAATGAACATGTATAGTTAATATTCTCTCGAATGTAAGTGATGTTCCCAGATTTTTGTTCTAGAGGGAGTTACAGTAATATCATTACAGTTATAAGATCCATGTCAGATAAGAACATTTTGACAAAATTTTATTTTTTCTTTATCGTTGAGAATCAAGTAATAAATTAAAAGAATGTAAAAAAACCATTAAAAATGTTTTTACGTCGTACTAAATTGGTGTACCAAAACATTTTACTACTTAATAAAAAATAACTGTTTCTTCATCACGTAATTATTTTCGTTTCTCAAAGATGTGTCTTCTACATTTTACATTTAAAATTCCTGAAAATTATAATTCTTGTTAAATGCAACTGATAGTAGAGTTAATGGATTATAAGACATAAATAATAATTTTATAATNAATTGAGAAATCTCCAGTGGCCGAACATTTATTGACACATAATCACTCTATTAAAACCATAAAACTAATTAAAAACGTAAATAATTACAAAGAACTTAATATCAGAGAAGCAATAGAAATGTTTAAAAATAAAAACAATTTAATTAATTGGGTTCTTGGCCCACTGAAAAATTTATTATTAAACTTCTGTAAACTGGAAAAATGTGATAATATTACTTAGTGATAACGTCACTAGGTGATAAGGTCACTAGGGGTATATAAGAGAGTTTTTTCTAGTCGGGGTGTCAGTATGTGTTTAGCGTTGATAATGGTAACATTGTTTCCGAAATACGTATCCGCGACATTTCATTAATTTTTTGTGGCTTTGAGTTTAATATTTTTAATATTTTTTAGTTTTTTAAATTAATAATATTTTTAATATAGTTTGCAAGCTGGCTTTTAGATTAGTAATTCGGCCTGTAACAACAACGTGGTTTGCCACTTGCATAACGACTAGCTAGAGTAGCAAGGGTCGCCACCACCTAGGCGAGGTGTCACACCTATCAGATATTATTACCGGACCATAGGTGGAATTTAATTTTAAGTTAATTAAAAGTGTAATCTAAGTTAATATGTCGTTATATGTATAAATTACTATAATGCCTCGTGGTTTATAGAACACAATTATGACAATCAAAGTTGTATGTGGTTGATATGTAAAACATACCGTAGCCCGTGTCTAGATTAAGGAATAGGAATGAAATACACGTGAGTATTTAAGTTACTCGCGCAATAAAATAAATATTACAGTTGAAAATAATAAGGAAATTTAATTTAATTGTTAAAAAAAGAAAATTAAGTTAAACATGGACAAAAATGCGAATGCATCAAAAACCATGTCTACAAATAAAGGCAATACAAATAAAATAAAATATTTAAACAAATAATATTACAAACATCACGGACGGTATTGGAACACATCCGTTAATGTTAATCGGAAATTAATGAAGAACACCAGGAGCGGTCTGGACACTCGCTCCTTAGCGTTGGCTAGAAGAAAAGGGAAACACGTGCTCTCCACACATAAACAAAATTAAGTTAATTTACAATAAAATAAAATGAAATAAAATAATTAATAAAATATAGCTCATTACATAAATATAATATAAAAAAGAAAACGATACCCGGTCTCCGAAGAGACCCATCCGATGGTCTGGATGCTTCGTCGAAAAGACCTGGCCGTTCGCCGTTGGCGGCTCTACTCCATCATTGTAAAAAGAGTGTCAATAAAACAACAAATGTGTGTACCCTAGCACGGTCAATGACAGAAGAAAGAATAGAGAAGAGTCAACACCGATCTAACGGCAATTTCAAATCGATAACGGCCTGTCTTTTTGGAAGGGATCAATACTGATAAACAATTCGATTTTAATTATATTTCTCTTTTATCGCCTTATCTAGCGGTCAGAGGCAAAATAATGAGTGGTTGACACCGCTGTGTCAGAAAAAGGTTCTTTCGCGCGATAAAATAAATAAGTAGACAAAAAAAAAAAATGATAAACGGTCCACCTTCGAATTTGTGATGTTACAAGTTTTAATTTTACTTAAAAAATAATTTGTTTAACCTTTTGAATTATAAATATATGATTTTCATTAGTCTGAAAATATTCATTACATAACCATAACGCAATTATGGGAGATGGGTCTCAGAATCCTACAAGATAAAAAAATATCAATGCCGAGGATTGGAACTATAAGGCCCACCGAGATTTATGTCCACTTACACCTGGCTCAGAAACCTTCAGTGACGTTTTTTTTTTGTCATCATTTTTTATTTTAAAATTTTTAATTTGTTTATATTTAGGTATAAATCTACTTTACCGGACACTTATTGTTTTTTTAATTAGTTTAGTTTTTCATGGTGATGAAGAATATTTAAATAGAAATTTAGCGGTAACAAATGGTTTGAAAGTTACATCATCTTAAAGTTTATGAATTGGTTAATACCTTATTAACCAATTTTTTTCAAAAATTGTTCAGTTCCAAATTGAATGCTATATAATGCGTCTGTATTATATAACGTATATTTTAACGTCACAAATTGTTGTGCCGTTGTTATTGCAGACCGACAAAAAGCCCACTTGCAATACAATAACGCGAAGTTTTCGGGAGGCGGCTATTATCAGCTGGACGTCGTTTCTCTGAACTGTTAAAAGACGAGTAAATTATAATAATATATAGTAATTTGTACGTATAATGTATAGGATATATTATAAATTTATATAGTTTTTGTATTATCTATTTTTGAACACAAATGATTACACGAAAATGCATTTTAGTCCGGTGTAGAGAGAGATGGTGAATTTTGTTTTTACACAAGAGTGCTTGAATAAATATCTTAATATTGTTAATACGACAATATATTGTTAATCTTTATAGAATATTTGATAAAACCATCTCTCATCATGATCTTTTTTTTTTACTTCAAACTGTAGTATGACAAAAAATTTCCCGCAGGGGAATCCGCAAGGATTACGGGCCTAACAACCCCGCGGACCCTAGTTATTTCAGTGGGGGTGGCAACACGTACCACTGCTCTTAGCCGGTCATGACTTTGGTTAGTTGGGACCGGTAGGCCTGGGCATACCTGCTTGCTAACAGCGAATAGGCCCCCCTAACCCAGCCATACCAAGTGAAAGGGTTGCTAACTTGTCACAGGGTAGTTAGCCGAAAGGTAAAGTGACCATTGGGATCCTCTATGGCACCTGGCGCACCATAGAGTATACAGCCTTATCACAGTATCGAGCTCTGCTGTGATGGACCTTTATTTCTCGACTTCTCGTGGGAATTATATGGATAAAAACATAGAAAAATCACAAAACAACGAACTTGTGACGATCAGGGGTCCTACGAACCTGTCGGAACAAGATCGTGAACTGGCGACTCTTCGCAGAAGAATCGCCGAACTTGAAGGTCTCAATGCCAAAAACGGGACACTTGGTGAACCGTCTACTAGCAAAGAGACAGCAACGTCAGAAAACGTAGACCAGGAGTCGCAAGATCAACTGGGAGCAGTAGCTGACAAAATCGAGGGTCTAAAACTTAGACCTGAGAAACTGAGCGGCAGTCAGAGGCGCAAGCTGAAGAGGAGCCGAGCAAACATGGAGGGGCAGAAGAACCTACCAAAGGAGGGAGACAAGGGAACCGATGACTTGAAAAAGTCAAAGGGAACCGAAGCTCAAAAACCTGAGGACAAGGGTCAAGAACTTCCATGTAAGAAAACTCATTGGGTACCGACCTACAGGGACATGGTAACCGATGATAAAAAAAGTGGCTCTGGTCCTCGCAGGCTACCCCACTAACAAGTTGACCACAGAGCTACTCGNAGTTGACCACAGAGCAGGGGCTACTCATTGAGTCTTGTGTTGGAGACTTGATACTGTCGGGTACTGATGGAACCGACGTACCAAGGTTTGAAGACACCAGACTCACTGATGGAGCACTTGTGATCAGTGCAGCCCAAGAGAACTCTCTTAAGTGGCTCACTGACCATGTCAACCTGATAAAACCTTGGGACGGTGCAGAACTCCATTTGGAAGCCTACAACCCGATCAAGTATAAACGGATGGTCACTCATATACCAGGGCTGCTAAAAGAGTCCAAGAAGATCTTGGAAATTTTGGCAAAACAAAACCCAGGGCTGAACACGGCGATCTGGAAAGTCCACCATGAGACAGAGGTTGGCCCGAAAGGACAAACTTTGTTCCTAAGTGTGGACGAAAACAGCATGGTCAAACTGGAGGAACTGAAGCGCAGTCCATATTTTGGAATGGGCAGAGTTTGCTTCACAGATTATGTTGCCAAGCAGCCACCAGCCCGGAAGGATGTGAAAAAATTCACACCTCANTAGTGTGACTCGCGCTAACATACCGGCCACCATTTTACACTTGTAAAATCAAACAAAATAATTGAAAATATAGTATACAAACATGATCAAATTCAGAAATAAACATAAAATTAAATAAATAATTAATAATAAACATCAAAAATTTTTGATAAACAATTTTTCCCTTTTAGAAATAAATATAAAATTAAATAAATAATTAATAATAAACATCAAAAATTTTAGACAAACAATTTTTCTTTTTTAGAAATAAATATAAAATTAAATAAATAATTAATAATAAACATCAAAAATTTTAGACAAACAATTTTTCTTTTTTAGAAATAAATATAAAATTAAATAAATAATTAATAATAAACATCAAAAATTTTAGACAAACAATTTTTCTTTTTTAGAAATAAATATAAAATTAAATAAATAATTAATAATAAACATCAAAAATTTTAGACAAACAATTTTTCTTTTTTAGAAATAAATATAAAATTAAATAAATAATTAATAATAAACATCAAAAATTTTAGACAAACAATTTTTCTTTTTTAGAAATAAATATAAAATTAAATAAATAATTAATAATAAACATCAAAAATTTTAGACAAACAATTTTTCTTTTTTAGAAATAAATATAAAATTAAATAAATAATTAATAATAAACATCAAAAATTTTAGACAAACAATTTTTCTTTTTTAGAAATAAATATAAAATTAAATAAATAATTAATAATAAACATCAAAATTTTTAGATAATCAATTTATTTATTTTTTTTTTTTCAATTTTTCACAGCTTCTTGGTGATTTTTCGATAAAAATAAATTTTTTAATTCTTTCAATCTATTGTTGCTTCCTGCGAAATTTGTGGCGTTATCTGAATAAATAAATTTTCCGATACCTCGACGACTCCACATTCGTTTCAGTGCGCTTAAAAACGCATTTGTTGTTAAGTCACCTACTAGTTCAATATGAACGGCCTTACAAGAAAAGCACACGAAAATACATACATATGCCTTTATTTTAGTAGAGTTTCGTCTTAAACTATTTTTAATATAGATAGGCCCACAAAAATCCACGCCCGTTGCATAAAATGCTTTGTCGAAACTTGTAACTCGCGTGCTCGGTAAGTTGCCCATAATCGGTTGAAATACCATTGGTTTAGATTTGAAACAAGGTATGCATTTATGCACAGTATACCTTGCTATATTTCGTCCATTGATGGGCCAATATTGTTCACGAACAGCCGCTAATAAAGCCTGTGGCCCAGAATGCAGCAATCGAATATGTTCATACTTGAATAGTAGCATAGTGAAAGCTGATTTTGATGGTAGTAAAATTGGATTTTTTCTATCATTACTAATGGACGCTGAATTATTTAACCGGCCAACAACACGAATTAAACCATTATTGTCGACGAAAGGGTTAAGAAAAAACAATTTACTCTTCTTTTTTATTGACTCTCCTTTATGTAAACATTGTAATTCTTCAGAAAAATATTGAGATTGCACGACTAACAATAATTTTTGTCTAGCCCGAATAGTTTCTTCTGGGTCGATGTAAATAGTGTAAATACATTTTGAATTTGACGACCGCTTATCTCTTACAATTTTTCTCCATCTTAGAATATACGCTGTTATGTTGAGTAATTTAGTTAATGATGAAAACCGTTCCGTGATATCAAACTTTTCAATTTTTGTTAATGTGACTACGAATTGTTTTTCTTCTAAATCATCTTTTACTACTATAATTTTTTGACAATTGTTATTAGGCCAATTTGATTCGTCATGAGTTAGCCACGTTGGACCTGTCCACCATAATTTATTTTCTATTAGTGCTTTTGGACTGCATCCTCGGGATATGATATCTGCCGGATTATCCGTTGAACGTACGTGCTTCCATTGTGCAGCCGTAGAAGTGTTATGTATTTCTCCGACGCGGTGAGAAACAAACGTTTTCCATCGAGAGGATGGTGAATTTATCCATGCAAGAACGATTTGTGAGTCTGACCAATACCATATTTTACTTGTACAACAATTAAGTTTTGGAATTAATTTATTGACGAGACGCACTGATAATACGGCGGCACACAGTTCCAGTCGCGCGAGTGAAATAACTTTTAATGGAGCGACTCGCGATTTTGACGCAATAAGTCGAACTATACGCGACCCGTCTGCGTCTTTTGCCATTAAATAAATACACGAACCGTATGCACTGATCGACGCGTCCGCAAAAGCGTGAATTTGCATGTCGCACACATTGTTACAACCAATTATTCTTCGCGGTATTTTTATTTTTTCGATATCTACTAGTTCGTTACGATACGCTTCCCATTCCCGACTAATGTGTGCGGGCAGCTCGTCGTCCCAATCCGTTTTCAGTTGCCATAGCTGTTGCATTATCTTTTTCGCTGATACTACAACCGGTCCTATTAGTCCGAGCGGGTCAAATATTGTCGCTATAGTAGATAATATTGTACGTTTAGAACTCGATTGTTTACTTGATTCGATGTCATTATATTTGTATTGATAATAATCATCCCATGGACTCCACAATAAGCCCAACGTTTTTATTGCGCTGCCGTCAATATTCATAACATAATGCGGGTCATTACTTATGTTCTTTATAGTTGACAACAATGACGGTTCATTTGATATCCATTTTCTTAATGTAAACCCAGCGCTATCGGTAATTTTTATTATTTGATCTCTCAGTGTTATGGCTTCTTCAATAGTGTTTGCGCCGCCCAAATAATCGTCAACATACAAATCTGTCGAAATTGCTTTGCTTGCCGACGGATATTTAGTGCAATTCTCATCTGCCAATTTTTTGAGACACGCCGTAGCGATGTATGGAGCACTTGTGGTTCCATATGTAACTGTTGACAGACAATATTCTTTTAATTCTTCGTGTGGTTGAGATCGCCAAAATATTTTTTGCAAAACTCTATCCTTTTTAGCTACCCATATTTGCCTATACATTTTAGCTATATCTGCTGACAGCACGTACTTGTGTACCCGAAAGCGTGCTAAAATACATATAAGTTCATCTTGAATTACCGGCCCTTTCATAAGTATTTGATTCAAGCTTGTTCCTGAAGTGGACTGTGCAGATGCGTCGAATACAACACGGGTTTGTGTTGTTGCACTGTGGTTGCGTAAAACAGCATGGTGTGGCATATAGTATGATATTTCGTTTGTTGATTGCGATTCTTCCATATGATTCAATTTTAAGTATTCATCCATAAATTCAATGTACTTTACACGAAGATCATTATTTTTTCGTAAATTATTTTCTGTAGCTAGAAAACGTCGCCGCGCCATTGCCTTTGAATCACCAAGTAATTCAACGTTGTTTTTCAGTGGGAGTTCAACAATAAATTTTCCCGTAGGTTCACGTTTTACTGTTTGTTCAAAATGCTCGACACAAGACCTTTCTTCAATGCTGAGTTTTTTGTTTGAACCCATTTCTTCTACTTGCCAAAATTTTGACATCAAATCATTTAAATTTACTTGGTTATCAATTACAATCGAATTGAAAAATGTTTTTGTAGTTGTTTGTGCTAAACTGGACACAGATCCCGCAACTATCCAGCCTAGTTCTGTTTCTTGGAAAATTATTTCAGTTGCATCTACCTTATGTTTACCGGCCTTTAGTATACTATAGAAACATTCAGCACCGAGTAGTACATCTATTTTGCCAGGTACGTCGTAATGTGGGTCAGCTAATTTAACGTTATTAGGTATATTTATACCAGTTGTGTTTATTGTTTCGTTTGGTAAAAATGAAGTTATTTTTGATAACGTTAAAAAATCGAGTTGGCTACTGTAATTACTATTTTGTGACTGAATTAATGTTGTTATAGAGTAAAATGATTTACCTTTAGAATTATCTACACCAGATATACTAATATTTACTCTTTTTCGTGGCGATTTTAATCTTTGCGCTAACTCAGTGGTTATAAAATTAGTTTGAGAGCCTGAATCGAGCAGTGCTCTTACAATGAATGTTTCATTAAAATGGCTTTTAATTTTTATTATTGCTGTTGATAACAAAACTTGTTTTTGTTCTGCACACGTCACATGTGTACTTATGATTTGTTCATCACTTTGCTCTTCGGGTATGTGAAGTAATGTATTATGTGCTTCTCCACATTTCCTGCAGCCTGAAAATTTACATAATTGGTTTTCTGAATGATGAGCCAAACATACATTACAAATGCTTAATTGAGTAACCTTTTGATGACGCTCTTTTATTGTTAGGTCTAAAAATTTTTTGCAATGATATATAGCATGAGTTGTTTCATTGCATAAATAACATTTAAATTTTTTTGAAGTCGCATGCAATACGGTCCTTTTTTGATAATCAAATCGTTTCTTTTCCTTTTTTTGATTGTCACCGCATTCATTTAACCTTTTTGCACTTTCAACCGCTTCTAATAGTTGACAGTGATTATTTAAAAATTCAATTATGTCTTTGACTTCTGAGACTTCAGTTTTTGGTGCTTGCTTTTCCCACGCTCGCAATGTGTTTGTGTCAAGTTTTGTTGATATGACGTGAATCATCAGAGGACCCCATAAATTAACATCGTGGCCTAAATTTTCTAGTGCTTTCATGTTGCCGACTAAATCGTCAGTAAACATTCGCAGATTGTCCGCTGATTCCTCGATAACTGGTTTTATATCATAAATGGCTTTTGTATGTTGTTGCACCAAAATCCGTTTATTATTGAACCTGTTGTTCAAACTATCCCATGCTATCTTATAATTTTTTGCCGATGTTTCGAAGCATTGTATTACTTTCAATGCGTCGCCCGACAAAGCTGCTTTTAGATAAAAAAACCTTTGTACATCAGTTAATGCTTCGTTCTCGTGAATTAACGCATTAAATATATCATTGAATGTTGACCATTCTTTATAGCTGCCGCTAAATGTAGGTACACTTAATGGCGCTAATTTTACAATTGATGGTTGATTAGATACACAACTGTTTGTTAGTGTTGACGTCATTATGGGTGGTTGTGATGTGTTTCGAATATCTACCGTGTGATTTATTTCTTCTATTTCTGCTTGATCACTAGCCAATATTCGTTCATACTCTGATACTGCCTCAAAGTACATTTCTTCAAACTGAATTCTGTATGGATCTTCTGGGCTTTCTGGATCTCTGAGTTCTTCAATTTCAGCCTGAATCTTTTGAAATTCATTCCATACTTCTTCAATTTTTTGTCGGCGTACTTTGAGTGAAGTCCTATCCCCACCTTTCTGTGCTGCTGCAGACACGAAAGTAACAAACCTTGTCAATTGACCTTTGATTGTACCTCGCCTACCATATAATACTGCATTCTCCACAGCTGGCTGCTCGGCCATTGTATGCTTATGAGCAAAGAAAACCCAATATTTTTTTTAGCTTAGTGTAAACAAGTATAATTAATTATATTTAAATAACTAAAACACACTACCCGAACTTTACGCACATACGCACTTTTTGTACTCGAAAATTTATTTATTTTTTAATTATTCATATAATTGAAGATCGAAGGACCAGAAATGTTGGTGAGCGGGATTATTAACCGTTAAAAAATCGAACGCTCAATTAACCTTATTTTTTTTAATTTGTTTGATTAATGTAATGAATATTAAATTTAATATGAATAAATAAAATGTACAAAATATTTGTTCCTTAATTTTATTTATAATTAAAACTTACATGAAAATATTTAAATACAAATGTAACCTTGATTAATATTGGAGCGCGTCGCTGATGGTTCAGCGGTGGAACGTACACTGATTAGACTTAATACTAAAGACACATTGCTGACCAGCCAAACCAAGATAAAAGACCATACTATAGTGTGACTCGCGCTAACAATAGCATTAATAGACATCAAATAAGCACCCTGACTGGTCTACTGACAGGACATGGTCACCTGCTTAAGCATCTTAACGCAATGGGGGTATCGGAATCACCATTGTGCAGGAAGTGTGGAGTAGAAGAGGAAGACTCATTTCACATCATGTGCGAATGTGAAGCCTTGTCCACACTAAGATCAAACTACTTGAATAAACCATTTCCTGAAAAAGAGGATATTAAAAACCTAAAACCCAGAGAGATACTTAATTTCGCCAGAAAGACAGGACTCTTTGGTCATCTTTAGAGGTGACTTTATGGTTGGTAATGTATTAACACTTTGGTGATAACATTTAGGTGGGTAAACCGAATCAAGACAATTCGGTATGAGGTGCGCACAATGGACCAACAGGTCTGAGTGCATGGGCATTATGTCCACCTCAATAATAACTAAAACTAAAACTAAAATGACAAAAAATTATTTAAAAAAGAGAGATACTCGACACTTATAATTTAGCATTATACCATTGAAACACTACTTTTAATTATGTTAGTTACACAATTTAATAGCGCATAATTGCGTTATTTAAGGATGCTTTTAATAAATGCATCATTTCAATATTATAATTAATATATTTAAAAATGCATTTAATTTTATTAATATAATTACATTTTTATTATTAAATATAATTAATATTTATTTCTATCGAGCATTATTGTTATGGGATTAAAAGCTGTCTTATTCTAAAAATCGGCATCCACCGCATCATTGATTTTTTGATTGTGTTTGACGATTAACCTGCAAATTTTAATTAACCTGATATTTTTGATAAGTTTTACTTAATTAATAATTAATGATTATATAAGTAATACTTAATTCAGTAAACATTTGTATGGACAATTTTATTATATGATATTTCATGAGATCACACCCTTGTTGTATTTGAACTTAATATTGGTTCAACCCAAACCTCACATTTTTCCATCACTTCGGGTCAAGTCAAAAATTCATTATTAAACTTGTGTAAACTGGCAAAATGTAAACATATTTTTCAGTTATAACGTCACTAGGAGTATATAAGCGATTATTTTCGGTGGAGTGTCACTATGTGTTTAACCATGGTAACGGTAACAATGTTCCCGAAATACGTATCTGCGATTTTTTAGTAATTTTTTGTGGTTTTTTGAGTTAAATATTTTGAAGTTTAAATTTAATATTTTTAATATAATTTTGACTTTAAATAATCTTTAGCCACAAGTGATCAATTTTCGTTATATAATTCTTCCTCTAAAAATAATAACCTTTTGTTATTCTCCACCAAAAGATTTTATTACGTTTATATAAGTAAAAAATAGAACTAAAAATTTTCATTTAGGTTAGTTTTTAATTTTTGTGGTATTTAAGATGTACAAAATAAACTTTTATCATGTAATTCGGTAATCAACAATCTTTTGATATGCGGACCATATTTTTGTTGAATGTCGCAAAAAAATTTATTTATGTATAATATTTGCATATTATATATCTTCTTCTTCCTCGCCTTAATCCCAACTACTTGGGATCGGCCACCCTTATTCTAAACTTCCACTTGACACGATCTCCCACATCATTTACACTCACATCAGCTGTCCTCAAATCGCATTCAATAGCATCCTTCCATCTCTTTTGGTCTTCCTCTACCTCTTCTTCCTTCAACATTTATTTCTATAACTGTTCTTACAGCTTCCGATTCTTTTATCATCATAGCATGACTAAACAATCTAAGTCTATTTTCTGTCATCTTATCCACGATTGACGCAACACCTTTACTTCCTCTTATATGCTCGTTCCTTATCCTATCTTCTCTAGTCACTCCACTCATCCAACTAAGCATTCTTATCTCTGCTCTACTTTCTTATCAAGCACCCAACACTATGAACCATATATCATAGCTGGTCTTATTACAGTCTTTTAGAATTTACCTTTCAGCTTCATTGGAATTCTTTTATCGCATAAGACTCCAGAAGCTTCTCTCCACTTTAACCACCCGCACTTAATTCTGTGTTTTATATCCTCGTCAATACTACCACTCTTTTGCATAACTGACCCTAAATACTTAAAACCTTCTACCTCTCCAATCACGTCCTCGCCTATTGTCACTGACCTCCTCATTTCACCTACCTCGTGTTCTCCTTTGTCACACTCGTACTCTATATACTCTGTCATACTTCTACTTATTCTTAAACCCTTTTCTTCAAGAGCTGATCTCCACACCTCTAGCCTTTGATTAATTTCCTCCCTATTTTCTCCTATTAACACTATATCGTCAGCAAACAACATGCACCACGGCACCTCTCCTTGTATTTCTCTAGTAATTTCATCCATCACTATAGAGAATATGTAAGGGCTAAAAGCAGAACCTTGGTGCACTCCTACTCCTACTCTTACCCGAAAACCTTCTGATATTCCTCCTATGCTTTTTATCCTGGTACAAGTGCCATCATACATATCTTCTATTATATTAATGTACCTTTTCGGGACTCCCTTTCTTATTAATAACCACTTTAAAACTATGTATAATATATATTTACATATAAAGTTTCAAATTAAGTTACATTATTTGACTATATTTTAATAAAGATAATTTATAAATTTAAAAATACAATAACAAATTTAATACGATATTTGAACTTGTATTATTTCCTTATAACATGATTAAATCATATAAGTCTATTTTCTCTTATCTTATCTACAATTAACGCTACATCTATAATCTCTCTTTTATGTTCGTTCTTTATCCTATCTTCTCTAGTCACTTTGCTCATCCATCTAAGCATTCTCATGTCTATTACACCCATTCTCTGCTCTATTCTTTCAACCGCCCAACACTCTAAAACAAGGCTTACAATCTGTATCAAAAAAAGGGGTTACTGTTTTAATAACCGTGACATTTGTAAACCTATTATTAATGAGTGGGTTTTTACCATACGTATGGTTCTTGATAATCGATTTTGATATTTATTGTTAATAGCTTAATCGGTTTTCAATTTTTAAGGTACCGTTAATCGTTTAAAACCGGGTTTTAACAGTTAAAATAATTTTTTTTTTAATGATGAAATACACTACACACAGCTAATACACAGCTTGGGTGTTCTTATAGGAAGAACTATTAGATAGTAGCGTAACTAGGGTGCCAAGAGGCACCCTAGCCTGGTGCTTGGCTCCCTAATATTGAATACTCAATATTGTGTATCCAATATTACTATTACATTTTAACAATCATATCTTACTTTATTTTTTAGTGATGTTTCTACACCTAAGTTTTCCATTATTTTCTTTAATTTTTTTGGCTTTGAATAGATCTGCATATTGCAATTTGTGATGCGCAAATACATGTTTCTCTAAGTTTCTTTAACACTGGATTCTTCAATTAAATAAATATTTAAATTATATAATTAAGAATTATAATTTTGGTGTAATATTTATTGCACATTTAAAAATAAAACGTGTCGGCGTTACAATAATACGTACACAAATACACTGCGTTCAGTACAAAGAAGGGCATATTTCAGTTTCGTGTGCTTCCGTTCGGACTTAAAAATACACCCATGACCTTCGTACGTTTAATGAATGAAGTACTTAGGGGATATATTGATGACTTTGTTCAGGTTTATCTGAACAATACTTTGATTTTTTCGAACAGTGTCGAAACGCATTTAGATCACCTTAGCAAGGTTCTCGAGCGCTTAATGCGTCACGGCCTAACATGATGCCATACTAAAAAGTGTAAGATCTGCTTCATTGGAATTTCCTTTTTAGGGCACTGGGTGTATGGGCTAGGCATAGACAAAGAGCCGGAATGTAAGGAATTTACGAACATTTTTAGGGGTATGCAGCTGGTATAGTCAGTTTGTTGATAAGTACGCTGACAACATCGACCCACTCATCCATCTATTAAAGAAAGGGGAAAAGTGGTCGTGGTCACAATCGCAACAAAACTCATTCGAGCACATCAAATCGGCGATACGGCTAATATGACTTACCACGTCTCTCTCCCCCCGACTACACAAAAACATTTTGCCTACAAACCGACACTAGTGAACTAAGCGTATGGGCGGTTTACTTCAACACGGACAATAACCGGAGAAAATGGATATCGTAGCTTATGCGAGTAAGAAGCTGTCAGGTACGCAAAAACTTTATGTCGTTATTGAGTGCGAATGTCTAGCGATCATATGGGCAACCTATAAATTTAGGTCGTACTTAGAATAAGCCTCTTTCGAATTGTACACAGATAATTCAGTGTTGACTTATTTGCACAAAGCAAAGGGCACAAATAGTAAGTTGACCCACTGGGCGCTACTCCTGGGTAACCTAAATTTTACCACGACACACATTTCTTAAAATTAAACACTATTTACCGATTTGTATCGAAACGTTTCTTATGATAGTGATTTTAATCACTAACAAATATCATCTATACTTGTCCCAATTATGCCACGTCTATACTGTGCTGCGACCCAACTGTGCTACCGTTTT